TCCCTGTCCCTCTCTCTGGCTCTGTCCCTCTCTCGTCCTCTCCTCTCTCTCTCTGGGTCCTGTCCCCTCTCTCTGGGTCCTGTCCCCTCTCTCTGGTCTCTGTCCCCTCTCTTTCTGGTCTCTGTCCCCTCTCTCTCTCTGGGTCCCTGTCCCTCTCTCTCTGGGTCTCTGTTCCCCTCTCTTTCTGGGTTTCTGTCCCCCCTCTCTGGGTCCCTGTCCCCTCTCTCTGGGTCCTCTGTCCCCTCTCTCTGGGTCTCTGTCCCCCTCTCTCTGAGTCTCTGTCCCCTCTCTCTGGGTCTCTGTCCCCCTCTCTCTGGCTCTCTGTGCCCCTCTCTCTCTCTGGGTCCCTGTCCCTCTCTCTCTGGGTCTCTGTCCCCTCTCTTCTGGTTTCCTGTCCCCCCTCTCTCTGGGTCCCTGTCCCCTCTCTCTGGGTCCCTGTCCCCCTCTCTCTGGGTCCCTGTCCCCTCTCTCTGAGTCTCTGTCCCCTCTCTCTGGCTCTCTGTCCCCCTCTCTCTCTTGGGTCCCTGTCCCTCTCTCTGGGTCCCTGTCCCTGTCCCTCTCTCTGGGTCCCTGTCCCTCTCTCTGGGTCCCTGTCCCCTCTCTCTGGGTCCCTGTCCCCCTCTCTCTGGGTCCCTGTCCCCCTCTCTCTGGGTCTCTGTCCCCCTCTCTCTGGGTCCCTGTCCCCCTCTCTCTGGGTCTCCGTCCCCCTGTCTCTCTGGGTCTCTGTCCTCTCTCTGGGTCCCTGTGTTGTCCCCCCCCCCCCTGCCCCAGGCCTCTGCCCCCTGAAGGCTCTCTCCCTCTCCCTCTCGTCAGGTCCTGCTCCATCTCATTCTCCACTGCTGGGCCTCTCAGGAGGCAACGCACCTGGCCCCACCCGGCCCACCCAGCCCTGGCCCCCACCCCGCTGTCAGGGATGGAGGGGGTTTGGGGGTGGGCATGGGCCGCAGTGTTATGCAGGGAGCAGGTGGGGAGGGGGGTGTTCTCCAGAAGCCCAGGAGCCCCATGGGGCCTACTCTGGGACCCCTCCTCTAGCCAGCTCCCCTGATCTCTGTCCCCACATCTGTGTCTCTCAGGCCCTGGGCTGGGGTGGAGGGCACAGCCGGACTCTGGCTCTAAGCTGCTGGGCATGGGAGGTGCAGGGAGGGAGGAGAGGAGGACAGTGCCTGCGTGTGTGAGAGAAGGGGCAGGGTGGGGGTGGGGCTGTCGGGGGGGTCACATGCCTGCTTCCAGACTCTCCACTGCTGGGTGAGGGTGTGTTTGCACACGTGCGTGTGCATCCACGAGGTTGCATGAGTGTGGGCTGTGATGTGTGTGGTTGCGTGTCCATGTGTCGCTGGCTTGGGCAGGCCCCCTGGCTGTGTTCCTGAATTGTGTTGGTCCCAATGTGTCACGATGTCTGAGGTGGTGTCCGGGTCTCGTGGGCTGTGGGCTCAGCCACGCACAGAAATGCATGGCTGTGCCCACGTGTGTGTGTGTTTGGGAAGAGGCCACAGGTGTGCCAGCAGGATGACACTGGGCATCCTTGCGTGTTGTGTCTGGCACACTGTGGACATAAGGTCTCTTGTGTCTGTGCATACGTTTGTGTGAGGTAAGGGAGGAGCTGGTCCCCCTGGACCTTTGGTCTGGCTGGGCCACTGTGTCTGCAGATGTGTGTCCCCGCCCCACCTACAGGTGCTGCCTGGCAGCGGAACGTGTGAGCAGGGTTAGGAGGCTGCTGTGTGTGCATGTGTGTGGTGTCTGGGTGTGTCGCTGGGCTTCAGGAGATGATGACACTGTTCCCATCCCCCAGTCGTCAATGGCCTGGAGTTGTGTCGCCCTGTGTGTGTGCATGGGTGTGCAGTTGGAGGAGACGATGGGACTCTGTTAGCAGAGGGAGTCCAGCAGAGACTTGGCACAGAATGGGGACTGAGCAGGCACACTGCTAGTCCATATGGGAGCCTTAGTGCAGACGCAACAAAGGCACCCCCTGGACCAACACAGCTCCCCAGAGTCTATGGTTTAGCAGGCAGATGGCACCCTTGTGTGGGTCTGAAAGGGGTGCCCCTTCCTGCAGATGGATGCAGCCCCACTGGCAAGCCTTAGGGAGGAAAACCCAGCTGGATTCTAGCCAGACCTCCTCATGCAGTGCACAACCTGCCCAACAATACATGGCAGCCCTCAATGAATGAAAGAATCCACACTGCCACGTGCAAGTGTCAATGTTGGAAGGGTGTGTCTGTGTGCATGTCAACCCATGTTTCTCTGCACGGGATAAAGGCATCCATGTTCTGTGAGTGGTGGTACACAGAGACTTGAGTTCAAAGCACAGCTCCACTGCTTGGGCACTATGGGGCTCAGGCAAATGACGGCACCTCCTGGAACCTTGATGTCCTTATCTGAAATGCATGTGTGAGGCAGAGACAGAGAGAGAGACGGCAATATTTATTGAGCACCTACTATGTGTGCTGTGGCTACAACGGGGAACAAGACTGACAAAAACATCAGGCTTCACGGGCTTGGTAGTCTAGTGGAGGAGACAGACAAGTCAGTACACAAACAGTGCGGCGCGGAGCAAGTTGCTGTGAGAGATCGAAAGTCTGGGGGTGCTGTTTCAGACGGGCCAGGGAAGGCTCGCTGAGATGCGGTGTGAGGGGCACCTGGCGGAAGCCAGGGGACGAGCCAGACAACATCGGCACGAAGCGGGTCCCGGGCGGAGGGGACAGCAGGAAGGTGGGGACCTCTTGGGCATAGGACCTGGGAAGGCGTGGGGGAAAAGGGAAGGATGAGAGAAGAGTCTGGATTTTATTCTAGGTGTGACAGGAACCCAGTGGGCGGTTTGGACAGGGGAATGGGTGAAGTCATCTGACCTATGTTGGTGGTTTTTCGTTTGTTTTTTAAAATTGTGGTAAAATACACATAAACTTTGTGTACAGTTCAATGGCATTTAGTATATTCATAACATTGTGCAGCCATGAGCGCTATCTAGTTCCAGAACATTTTTATCATCCCAAAAGCAGTCACCCCCCCTTCCTCCCCCCACCCCGGCTCCAGGCAACAAGCAGTTGGCTTCCTGTCTCTGTGGATTTGACAATTGTGGACATTTCGTACAAATGGAATCATACCCTGTGTGGCCTGTGTGTCTGGCTTCTCTCACTGAGCATCATGTTTTCGAGGTTCATCCATGTATCAGCGCTTCACTGCTTTTCATGGCTGAATAATATTCCACCGTGTAGACAGGCCACACTGTGTTTATCCATCCAGCCGCTGAGGGACATCTTGGTGGTCTCGCCTGGGGGTGTCATGAGTAGTGCTGCCCTGAACATTCGTGTGTCGGGTTTTGTGTGAACGTGTTCTCAGTTCTTTGGGGCAGATCCCTAGGAGTGGAATTGCTGGGTCATGTGACAACTCTATGTTTAACTTTTGAAGGACTGCCAAAGCGCTCTCCACAGCGTGGGCCAAGCCACTTCTCGGGTGTCCATTAAACACCAAGGACAGGCGTCGAGTAGGCGATCGAGTGGGGCCTTCTAGCTGGGAGTTCAGGGGAGGGGCCCAGGGGAGCTAAACAGGAAAGTTGAGGCCCCACGGAGAAGGGGGCACAAGCTGAGTGAGGGTTGGGGAGCCTCAGCCCCCATAACCCTCTCCCCATCCCCACCCCCAGCCATTTCATTGATAATGGGGTGGTCCGCAGAGACACACACCCTGAATGGGAAGGAACAATGATAAAAAATAATGCCTAATGATATTTATTAAAGGAGTTCCACCCACCCACCCTCCCTCCCATCCCCTCACTGCTTTCATTTCTTCATGGCTTCCTTCATAACTTCTTCATATTTCTTCACAATGTTTCCAACATGCATCACGCTGATTCGTGTCCGTGGACTGGCTCTCTCCCCTCACTGGAAGGTAAACCCATGAAGGCAGGGACCCCTGTGTGTTCACTCACTGCCTCAATCTCAGAGCTCAGTGACCACGGTTGCCGTGGAAACAGCCAGGAAGCCCCGCCTCACCTGGCCCCTGACTCCTGCTGTCTTCTCCATCGCCCTCCTCATCCCGGGTCGCCCTCCTGAAATAACAGCACGGCAAACCCTTCCATGCATATATCGCAGCTGCACGAGGCCAGGCACTGTTCTAAGCTCCTCACACACACGAACTCCGCTCGTCCTTCCGATCACCTAGTGAGCGCCATCCTTATGCACATTTTACAGATGGGGAAACTGAGGCACAGGGGGACTTAGGTAAGAGCCTGTCCAGTACCAGGCAGCTGGCACGTGGTGGAACTGGAGGTGAGGCACTCCTCCTGTGTTTCTCCTAAACTGGAAGAGTGTGGTGTGTGTGTGTGTGTGTGTGAGAGAGAGACAGAGAGACAGAGACAGAGACAAAGACAGAGACAGAGAAACAGAGAGACACACAGAGAGAGACAGAGAGACAGAGAGAGGCAGAGAGAGAGAGGGAGACACAGAGAGAGTGGGAGACAGAGAGAGAGAGGGTGGGAGACTGAGGCTTGAGATCCCTTGATGATCAGACCTAAATAAAGGAGAAATAACCACTTGGGGGGACTGAGGGCCCTATGGGTCTAAGCCAGCGGTGCTCACTGGGGGGCAGCTGTGTCGCCCAGGGGGACATTTGGCAGTGCCTGGAGGCATCCTCTGTTGTCAGGACGAGGGTGAATGCGAATGCTCCTGGCATCTAGCAGGTGCTGCTAAACATCCCCCAACGCACAGGACGGGTCCCCACAACAAAGTACGGTGGGTCCCCAACCTCAGGGGTACCCAGACGGTGGCCGCTCCCTGTAAGCGCTGAGAAGCCCTGCACTATCTCTTCCCACCTGCCGGGCCTACGAACTCAAATTCTCAACTCCTGTCTCTCTCTCCCTTCCCTCCCCTCCCCACGCCTCTTTCTCCTTCCCCATCTCTGGACTCCTCCCATCTCGCCCACCCCGCGTCTGTCTCCCTTCATTACCTCCCCGGTCCCTCATGACCCCCCCTCCAACCTCCTCTCCGCGCGGCCCCGCCCCTCCGCGCCCCGCCCACCTCTCCATCCCCATCCTGTGCTCGGTCGCCTGCGCCTCACCTCTTACTCTCTCCTCGCCCGCGCGCACGGGTTCTTCTGCCTCCATCACATCTTTCCTCTGGTTTTTGTCCATCTCTCTCTCTCCTTTCTGCGCACCCCTCTAATGTCTCCGTCGACCTTCCCGGTCTCGTCTCCCCCATTCATCACTCGCTTTGCTCCTTTCTCCGTCTGCCCATCATCATTTCTGTTCTCCTCCGGCCGCGTCTGGGCGTTGCTCCGCTATCACCGTCCATCTCCCCGTGGGGCCGCCAACTCTGAGCGCATGCATCTCTGCTCCATCCGTCCTTTCTGTCTCCTGGTGCGTGTTTCTCTCCATCCTTCTGCCTTCCCTCGGCCCGCCTTCCTCATCCTCTCCGCCCACCCATCTCCACATTTCTCCACCTCTGGCCATCCCTCTTCTGCCCTTTGCTCCAGCCTCGGTTCTCCCCGCAGCCTGGCGGCCTCGACCGACCTCCTGCACGCCCCATGCCGGCCCTCCTGCTCCTCGGGACCCTTCTGCTCCTGGCCTCGACCGCCGGCCAGGCCGGGGCGCGCCCGTCCAACGCCACGAGCGCCGAGCCCCCGGGCCCACTGCCCGCCCTGCTGGCGCACCTGCGGCGCCTGACCGGGGCGCTGACGGGCGGCGGGGGCGCAGCGGGCCCGGGCGCCAATAGCAGCAAGACCGGCACCGCGAGCGGGGCGGGCGCGGCGGCGAGGGCGCCCCCTCCCGCCGAGCTCTGCCACGGCTACTACGATGTCATGGGCCAGTACGACGCCACCTTCAACTGCAGCACCGGCTCCTACCGCTTCTGCTGCGGCACCTGCCACTACCGCTTCTGCTGCGAGCACCGCCACATGCGCCTGGCGCAGGCCTCCTGCTCCAACTACGACACGCCACGCTGGGCCACCACGCCGCCGCCCCTGGCTGGGGGCGCCGGGGGCGCCGGGGGTGCGGGCGGCGGGCCCGGGCCCGGCCAGGCCGGGTGGCTGGAAGGGGGCCGGGCGGGAGGTGCCGGGGTGCGTGGGGGCGAGGGGCCCGGGGGCAGCACGGCCTACGTGGTGTGCGGGGTCATCAGCTTCGCCCTGGCCGTGGGCGTCGGCGCCAAAGTGGCCTTCAGCAAGGCGTCCCGTGCGCCCAGGGCGCACCGGGAGATCAACGTCCCCAGGTGTGTCCGCGCTGGGGCCCAAGGGTACGAAGCCTGGGGCGGCGCTGGGGCAAGGGGCAACGGGCCATCTGGGGCGGGGCTACAGGAATGGGGGCGTGGCCTGAGACCCAGGAGGCAGCCGCCCACAGGGCGGGAACACGTGCCTAGGGAGATGGGCAGGGCCTAAGAATCGAGGAGCCAGAACTGGCCTGGCTGTTGAGTGACGGAGGAGACTCAGGCCTTCATTCATTCAACAAATATTTCTTGAGCACTTTCTGTGGGCCAGGAGCTGGAGATACAGCAGTGAACAAAACAAGATCCCTGCCCAGGTGGATAAACCTGGCTTCTAATCCCAGGTCTGCTGCCTACGGGCTGTGTGACCCTGAGCAAGTTGCTTAACCTCTATGTGCCTCAGTTTCCTCGTCTGTACAATGGGGCTAATAATTGTTCCCCACGCGTTCGTACTGTAATGAAGATGAACTGAATTGATTCATGTCAAGTCCTGGCACATGGTAAGCCCTCAATAAATGTTGGCTACCAACTAAATGTTAGTGATGCAGGCAGTAAGCAGCAAATACATATGCAATATACTTTTAGATATTGGTAACTGCTGTGAAGAAAAGAAAGTGGCATAACGAGCTGGGGCGGGGGGAGGAGAAGGTTGTTGTACACGAAGTGGTCAGGAAAGGCCCCTCTGAGCAGAGGCTTGAAGGAAAGGAGCGAGCCAAGCAGATATCTGTGGGAAGGGCGTTCCAGGCAGAGGGAATAGTAAGTGCTAAGGCCCTGAGGTGGAGTGTTTGCAGGACAGCGAAGGGGCCCTTGCAGCTGGAGTGCAGCGGGCGAGGAGGAGGCTCATTCTAAGCGTGGTGGGGGAGCCACCGGAGGGTCCTGAGCTCAGGCACGACGTGTCTGCTTCCTGGGGCTGTGCGGATAGGATTAGACTGCAGAGGACGAGGGCGGAAGCAGGGAGACCCCGTAGGAGACTGTTGCAATGACCCAGGGGAGAGATGGGGATATATCTGGGAGGTCACATCTGCAGCATTGCTCAGGGGCATGAAGGAAAGAAAAAGAGCAGTCAAGGGTGAGTCTAAGGTTTGGGTCTGCATAACTGGGCGAATGGGGAAGGCTGCAAAAGGAACAGGAGTGAGGCCCGGGTTCAGGGTGGGAGGGGCCGCAGAAGGGGTAGGGTCCAAATGAATTGGGAACGGGGCGCTTCAAGCAGGAAGTGTGGTCCGAGGGACTTTGGGGCGAGCTGTGCTCAAGATGACACTAGCAAGGGGCGTGGCCAGAGGCGGGAGGCGGAGCCGCGCTGACGTTCCGCCAATGGTGACACAGGGAGTGAAAGAAACCCTCCCTTCCCCCCGGTCCCACCCCAGGTTCCAGGCCGCTGACCGTCCATCTGCCACCTCTAGGGCCCTGGTGGACATTCTGAGGCATCAGGCGGGACCTGGGACCCGCCCAGACCGCGCACGAAGCAGCTCTCTAACCGCGGGGGTCGGGGTTCCCGACAGCATGCCCCCGAGGACGCCCAAGAACCTCTACAACGCCGTGAAGCCCTCCAACCTCGGTGAGTGACACGCAGGAGCAGCAGCTGCCACCTCTGCCCCTGACCACGCCCCTCGCCCTGTAGCCCCGCCCTCCCGATGGCCCCGCCCCCAGCCCCAGCCCCATGCCTCTGCCTCCCTCAACCGAGGGGCTCCAATGAGCCGGAGCCGCTCCCTGCCCCCTGGGGGGCACCATGGACGCCTCGGTGGTTTAGACTTAGACGTTCTCAGCCCCCGCACTCGAGACACTCCTGTCAGACCAGCCAACAACCAACGACACGCAAGGACGCACTTAACTATTGAATCAGAATTTGTCAGGAGCCAGACGCCCTGGGTTCGAATCCTGGCTCTGCCACTGTGACCTGGGGCAAGCGACTTCAGCTCTCTTGGCCTTGGATTCCTCATCCGTGAAATGGGCAGCCTGACAGTACTCACCTCACAGGGGTTGTGAAGATCAAACGGACTAATGAGTAAAGTCCTTAGAGCAATTTCTGGCACAGAGCAAGTGCTCTATGGATGGGAGCTATTGTTCTTATCCTCTGTCTTACGATGAGTGCATCAGTGGAGAAGGCCAGGGAGCTGTAGAGGGTGAAGGGTCTCTTCCGGCGTGAGGGGAGGAGGGCTTCCCTCAGGAAGTGATGTTTGAGTGGTGGCCTGCAGGGTGAGGGGAGTTTCTTGCACCTGGGGAGCTCTGAGTGGCTGCAGCAGAACTTGTGAGGTGGCCAGAGCTGAGGCTGGGGACAGGGTCGGCAGACGCCTTGGGAAGGGCCTTGAGTGCCAGGCTGAGCTGAGGAGTTCTACCTTTGTCCTGAGGGCCATGGGGAGTCACGGAGGAGGTTAGAGCAGGGTAGCAGCAAAGCCAAAAGTGGATGGAAGAACTATTTCTCTGGAACCATACGGGAGAGAGATGAGAGGAAGAAGCCTCAGGAGGAGGCTGGGATGATGATCCAGGCAGTAAAGGCCAAGGCCTGAGCTGAGGTCAGGAATGGAGGGGAGGAGATGGGTTTGAATAACAGTAACAAGGAAGAGACATTTGAGCTGGATGTTGAGCAATGAGTAGGAGTTCTTCAAGCAAAGAAGGGGAGCAAGGGGATTCAAGGTAGAGAGAACACATAGCAGCATGTGCAAAGGCCCTGTGGTAGAACTGAGTTGGACTCCTTCCAGCAGCAGAGAGAAGTGTGGCTTGAAGTGAGAGAGGAGAGAGAAGGCCGCAGACGTCAGCTGGGTCCAGGTTATGCAGGCCTCAAATGCTATTCCTGGTTTAGACTGTGTCCTGTGGGTGACAGCCAGACATGGGAAGAGTTTCAAGCAGCAGAGGGACAAGGCAGGTGTGGGCGTCAGGAGTACTGTGGTGAGGCTGATCTTGGAGCCAGGCTGGCTGGCTGGCCGGAAGACTGGTTTGATGATCCAGGGGGAAGAGGCAGGTCAGGGCAGAGATTCAGGAGGCAGAAGGGACCAGAGCTGGGGACCGAGTGGATGTGAATGGGATCCTTCCACCAGACCAGGACAGCAGCACCAGCCAGGAGCAGGTGATGGCAGTGACGCCACCTCCCTTCTCGGTCCCCACAGATAACTTGCACCACAACTACCTGCACCTCAACGTCAACAGCCCCAAGCACCATGCGGCCACGCTGGGTACGGACCAGGGCCGGGCTGGGGGAGGACAGGGCTCCGTCCCCCCCTCCCTGACTGTGCCCGAGCCGGGCGGGGGCCCAGGTAGCGCAGGTGTGAGGCCCTGTGAGCCTGCCTCACAGTTGCCAGGTAACCAAGCGAGGCTGTTTCCTCATTTGAACACTGGAAGTGGTCGTCTCTCTCCCACCCGGGTTAGATGCATGGAGCGCAGCCCCCAGCCAGGGGCCGGCACGAAGCGGGTGCTGTGCAAGTGGCAGCTGCCCCTCCTCCTGTGACGTGTCCTCCTTCCCCAGCAAACAGCCTGTCTCCTGGGGGGCGGGGCGGTAAGCAGGGGGAGCCTGGGCTGCTGGAGCTTTGAGGGGCTGGAATCTCAGCTTTGTAACTCCCTTAGGGGCTGGGGGCCGAACTGTCGGGTCGGAGGGGGGAGGGGCTGGACTGACCCCAGCCCTGCCCCTCTGCCCCAGACTGGCGGGCGGCTCCACCACCCAGCCCCTCCTTGCACTACTCCACGCTGTCCTACTCTCGGTCCTTCCACAACCTCTCGCATCTGCCCCCGTCCTACGAGGCCGCTGTGAAATCTGAACTCAACCGATACTCCTCCCTCAAGAGGCTGGGTAAGTCCCGGGAAGGGGAGCTGGGAGGCGATGGGGCACAGTCAGGGCCAGGGCCTGGATTCAGGACCGTGGACAGTGGCCCAACAGCCACTAAATAGGTTTAGATCCTCTCTCAGGGTTTTCTCCAAATTTGTTCCAGAATTACCTGAGGTAATTTTGTATCAGAATTACCTGGGATGCTTTTTAAAAATGCAAATTCATGGTCCCCCCTCCCAAGATCTATTGTATTCATCACGACTTGTATCTGCAATTTATAGAAATACAACTTAAACAAAAAGAAAAAAGAAAAAAAGGTAATTATGTTGGCTTGATAATGGAAAGTCTGAGTCATGAGCTTCAGGTGTGGCTGGATCCAGGCGTCCAAAGCTGTCTCCAGGATTCTACATTTCTCAGCTCAGTTACAAAGTGGGCTGACTTCATTTTCTGACAGAATTTCCCCTCCTGGTGGCAAAGATTGCCCTGAGAATTTTCAGGCTGTCATTCTACCAGCAGAAAAGAGTCTCTCCCAATGATTCCAGCAAGAATCCCAGGCCTGGATCCCACTGGTGCAAACTTGGTCACATGCTTGTCCCTGAACAAATCCGTGTGACTCTGATTGGACATTTCTGGGTCAGTGGCCCATCCCTGGGAGGGGAACAGCCTTCAAACATTTCAAACTGAGAGCCAAATGATTTTTACATTATGACCCATGAGACACACGTATATATGGCTATTTTTTAATTACAGGACAGCTTTGAAACTTGCCATTATGCACATTTTAAAACACACTCAAGAGTAGAGGGAATTATAAAATGAACCTGCATGTTGTTCCCACCACCCAGTTTTTGGTGGTTTTTTTTATGCTTTTTTTTTTTAATTTTATTTTTCCTTTTTCTCCCCAAAGACCCCGGTACATAGTTGTGTATTTTTAGTTGTGGGTCCTTCTAGTTGTGGCATGTGGGACGCTGCCTCAGCATGGCCTGATGAGCTGTGCCATGTCCGCGCCCAGGATCTGAACCCGCGAAACTCTTGGCCACTGAAGCAGAGTGCATGAACTTAACCACTCGGCCCCGGGGCCGGCCCCAGCCATCACCCACTTTTAACAATAAGCAACATTTTGTTAATCTCTCTTCCCTCCATCCTATCTTTTCGTGAATTATTTTAAAACACATCCGAGGGATTATGTCACTTCATCCATTAATATTTCAATAACACACATATAACTGAAATAATAGTTTTATGAACGGTACTCACCCTTATTCCCTTGTTATGTCCACACCTTCTCATAATTTTCTATTTCATTTTTCAAAATCCTGGTCACTGCCCACAAAATTGACTTCACAACTCACGAATGGGTCACATCTCCAAGTCTGAAAAACACTAGCTACAGGATGAAAGGGAGGGAAGAGTGGTTCCCAAAAAGCAGGAGTTGGAGTCTACTCCCCAAAAAGAGGACGCCCCCTCATCCATCGGGCCAGCGGCGCGGGCGGCCTGGGAGTCTGCCTTTTGCCCCCTGCTAGCTTGACTGTTCTGATTGAACTTGTGCCCGCGCCCAGGCTAACGACCAGGATGTGCTGGGTGATGCCTGGGCTCCTCCTGGTGGCCGGGTCCAGCGCGGGGTGGGAGGTACCGGAGCCAGGGGAGGGGGGAGGTTCTGGGCTGGCTGGGGACCCACCTCGGCGGCCTTCTCCCTTCTCCCCCAGCCGAGAAGGATCTGGACGAGGCCTACCTGAAGCGCCGGCACCTGGCGGAGGTGCCCCGCGGGACGCTGCCCCTGCACGCGCTGCGGCGCCCCGGCACGGGGGGCGGCTACCGCATGGACGCCTGGGGCGGCCCGGAGGAGCTGGGCCTGGCGCCCCCGCCGCACCCGCGGCGCGTCATGTCCCAGGAGCACCTGCTGGGCGACGGCGGCCGCGCGCGCTACGAGTTCACGCTGCCGCGCGCGCGCCTCGTGTCGCAGGAGCACCTGCTCCTGTCGTCGCCCGAGGCCCTGCGCCAGAGCCGCGAGCACCTGCTGTCGCCCCCGCGCAGCCCCGCGCTGCCCCCCGACCCCGCGTCCCGCGCCGGCCTGGCCGCCTCGCACTCCAACCTGCTGCTGGGGCCCGGGGGCCCCCCCACGCCGCTGCACGGGCTGCCCCCGCCGCCCGGCCTGCACGCGCACCACCACCTCGGCCTGCACGGCTCGCCGCAGCCCGCCTGGCTGGCGGACGCCGGCGGGGGCGGGGGCACGCTGGCCCGCAGGCCGCCCTTCCAGCGCCAGGGCACGCTGGAGCAGCTGCAGTTCATCCCCGGCCACCATCTGCCCCAGCACCTGCGCACCGCCAGCAAGAACGAGGTGACTGTCTGAGGCCGGGCCGGGGGCTGGGGCGCCGCGGCCTCGCGGGCCCCGGTCCCAGCCTGGATCCCCCACCACGCCCCAGGGGCTGGGACCCACGTCGGCCAGCGGCCGGGGGGCTGCCTCTGAGGACACCGCTTTGGATGAAATCGTCACCGGAGACAAAGCCTCCTGGTGGGATTTCACCGCAGATACGATCCCTCCTCCTCGGTCACTGATTGAGGCAAGGCATCCTTCCCATGACGTCATCACAGAGGAAGAGGCCTGCCTGTGACGTCATCACTAGCGAAAATGTCTGTGTTCTGTGATGTCATCACAGGGACAAACCTGCTTCCCATGAGGCTCATCACAGAGGAATAGGCCCGTGCCTGAAGTCAACACTAGAGGCCATGTCCATGTTCTACGATGTCATCACAAAGACTTCCTTCCTGCGATGTCATAGCAGAGGCAATGCCTTGTCCTGTGACATCGTCCCTAGAGACAAAGATTCCTTCCTGTGATGTCACCACAGAGACAAGGCTCACTCTCATGATGTCATCTCTGGCACCTTTTGACAAAAGGCTTCTTTTGATATTATCATCACCAGGAAAATATTTTCTTCCAGAGAAGATGCCTCTGTCTATGATGTGGTTGCTACAGACAAAGCCATCTTCCTGGGACGCATCACAGGGGAAATGCCTCGCCAATTGTATCCCCACTAGATATAAGGCCTCCTTTCCACAACACCGTCACAGGGACTCCGCCCCATTCCTGTGATGCCATTGCCCGAGAAGGTGCCTTGCCCTATGACATCATCAGAGGGACTGTGCCTCTTCCCACGATATCATCACCAGAGATGACAGCCTGCTCTGGAACATCTCCAGGATGAGGCCCCTTCTTCAGTGTCACCAACAGACTCTGCCTGCTCTGAGATGACACCATGAGACAGCTCCATGGCTACCGCCATGTCACAAGAAGGCAGGACAGGCTCAGAGTCCATGACCATCCTGGGGGTGACCAGAGAAAGTGCCCTGACTGAGGGATGTCATCGCTGGGGAGACTGCCCCATCTGGAGGGGTCTCTGCCAGAGATGATGGTCTGTCTGTAGCTTGTTGGCACTGGGCACCCACCCCCGTCTGAGGCTCTGCCCCAATGCTGTGATGTCATCACCAGAGACACTGCCTGCTCTGGAGGCCATCCCTTGTGATGTTGTCACCAGAGTTTCTGCCTTGTTCCCCCACAACTTAGCTTGGTTGCTCTTTCCCCTGACCCCACGGACATTCCCTGTAGGATCTCCCCCAGACCCCCTCTCTAAAGAGAAGTTGGGCCCGGGGTCCCACCTCTGCGTAGTGATGTCACCTCCTGTGTGACTTCTGGAGGAGAGCACCCAGACTGGCTTCTGCTCCCAAGGAGGCCACTCTGGCCCACCAGGCTCCTGGAGGACTGGGACTCGTAGGTGGCCCAAAAGCTAGTGTCACTTCTCTCTACCATAACTAGAGATATCATCGCCTCTGTCAACAAAGTCCTGGCCTCCTTAGCAGGGTGGGGGAGGTTGGGGTATGCTTGCTATTGATCTTGCTGATGACATCATCAGCACCACAAGACTTCCACCACTCATGATGGCATTGCACCCTGGTCAAATGCTAACCATGCCTGATGACGACATCATTTCCCAGCATTCCCTATGATCTATGGGGTCTTCATCTCCCAGGATTCACCACAACTATGGTATCATCCTCTTCCAGGGCTTACCATGACCATAGTGTCACCTTCTCCCAAGGTTCCCCATAGCCAATGGTGTCACCATCTTCTATGATTCTCCATGACTATGGTATTATCATCTCCCAGGATCTGCCAAACCATTATATTATCTCCCAGAATCACCATAGCTGATGATGTCATTATCTCCTAGAATCCGCCATGACCAATGATGTCATTACCTTCCAGAATCCACTACGGCTCATGATAACATCCTCTACCAGGATCCACTAGGACTGATGATGCCACCATTTCCCATAGTCCCCCATAATTGTGATGTCATCACCTTGCAGGATCCACTTCAACAATGGTATCATCAGAGATCCATGAGAGCCAATGGTGTCATCACCTCCCACAATCCACTTCAACCATAATGTCACCACCTCTAAAGATCCACTTTAACCATAATGTCTTCATGTCCCAGGATCCACCATAGCAGTGATGTCACCACCTTCCAGGATCCACTTCAACCATGATGTCACTACCTCCCAGGATCCACATTAACCATGGTGTCATCACCTCCCAGAATCCATGACAGCCAATGGTGTCATCGCTTCCCAGGATCCACTTCAACCATGATGTCTTCATGCCCCAGGATCCACCATAGCCATGGTGTCACCACCTCCCAGCATCCATGAGAATCAATGGTGTCTCAGGACCCATGACACCCTATAAATTCATCATCTCCCAGGATCCATTTCAACCATGGCATCATCATCTCCCAGGACCCAGGACACCCAATGGTATCAACATTTACCAGGATCCACTTCAACCATGTATCATCATCTTCCAGAATCCATCCTCTTGGGAGCCAAGTACTATAACAGCTGTATTTCAGTTGTCTTCTGGGGTTACGTGGCACCTACAGTTGTTCCCTTAAGGGGAACCAGCACAATACACACCATTTCCCCATTGCCTCAAAAATGGAGTAGGGTGGGGCTCCCTCTGATGACATCATCCCTACTCTGGCCCTTCTTGATAATGTCACTGCCTCACTCCTGACTTAGGCTGATGCCTGCATCGACCCCATCACAGACTTGGCCTTGGCCAGCCCCCCATCACCCCTCTGGTGAGAGCATCCAGGCCCCTCCTGATAACTCACTGCCCTTCCCCCAAGCATCTGATCGGTGACAGGGTCAACACAGAGGCCTCTTATCATCACCAGAAGGGGGCTTTCCAGCCCTTAGGTGAAGTCACTGCCTCTTGCCGAATCCCTGTTACCTGGACCCCCACGCAGAGCAGCACTCCATTGGCTTGGGCCAAACTCTCTTCAGAGACCCTTGTGGGCTGGGCCAACATCTGACGACCTCGCTGGGGTCATGAATCATGTCCTCTGCTGGCCTGGTCCTGGGGCAGGCACACCTGGAGAGCCGCGGCCACTGCCAGCGCCACCTCTGAGGGCAGGATGGGGGTGCTCTGCATCATCCCAAGATGGCAGAGAAGCAGCATTCTCTCCTTCATCTCCCCCTCACATACTGGGGAGGCTCCAGGGGTCTCGGGGATTCCCCAACACCCAATGCACAATTTGCCCCCAGTTCTCTTTGTACATAGCCATGTTGCGGGGGGCGGCCATTCTCCCACTCTTAAAGGGCTACATGCCCCCTCCCAAGCCCCCAGGGCGAGGTGGGGGGCCTCCTCTCCCTCCTCTGGGCCGTCCCTCTCCCTCTTCTGTCTCCCCTCAAATACTGGCACCTCAGCTCATCCTTTCTTGTCAGGAGCCTGGAGCAAATAACTGGCCCTTGGCTTGCACCACAGCAAGGGAACTTGGGGGCTACCCCCAATTTACCTGGGCCCCAGGGCCAGTTTTTCAACTCCACGCTTACAGCTGCTCCTATGGGTTCCCCAATCCCTTCTAGGGCCTCCCCATGCCCAGCACCCCTCGGGCAGACTGTGACTTCCCCAGAAAGGAGCCAGCTTGAGTGCCCACCCCCTCCCAGATGCCCTCCCCTCTGCTCACCACCCCCCCAGAGCACTCAGCTTTCTCCAGCCCCCAGAATTGGGGGGATCGGGGCCTTTCAGCTTTTATATGCCCCCCTCAACTTGCTCTCTCCCAGCCTGGATTCCAGGTGTCTTGCCCCTTACCCCCCATGGCACAGGCTGCCTGACCCTGGGGCCTTGACCTCTTATCTCAAATAAGCCATAGTGGGGAGAGGTCTTGAGGGGGTGAGGAAGCAGGCCTGTCCCACCAGATCCCCCTCGATGCTTCCAGAGCTGGGACTTTGCCATCTGAGTCTTCCCTCCGCCCCCAGAAACGCACACACAGGCTCTTGTGGGAGCACACACATCTCCCCTTCTGGCTGGGGGGCAAGGAGGGGCAGTGCAGAGAGAACATTAACAGTTCTGGACCGGGGGCCTCCACAGCTTCCTTATCCCCCCACGCCGGACCCTCCCGCAGTTCCCTGGTGAGAAAGCCGGCACAGCAGCAACTTGGTATTTTTTGGAATAAACAGATGTTTTCCTGAGCCCCAGTCTCAAAGTTTGCTGTCAGACGGGATGGGTTTCCACCTCCGCATTTACAGGTCACTGGGGAGCCACCCGCGTGGCCTAGGGGGGCGGTCGGGGCTGCCTCCCTGCTTCTGTCCCCAGAGAGGAGTCAGGCACGGCAGGTGCGTGGAAGGCGCCTTTAAGGCCTTGGTTTCCTCCTAAGAGAGCCTCTTCCCTCTGAGCATTTAAGCTTTTGTCTGAAGATTCTATCTGTCTGCACTTCCTTGTGTTTGAAATCTTTGGGTGAGTATCGCTGAAGTGTGGGGCTGTCTTAGTGGCTGAGCTGCCCTAACAAAGTACCCCAAACTGGGCGGCTTAAGCAACAGACATGTACCGTCTCCCAGCTCCGGGGCCGCAAGTCCAAGAGCAAGATGTCGCAGGGTGGGTTCCTTCTGAGATGGTGTGGGGGAATCTGTTCTGTGCCTCTCTCCTGCCTCCGAGTGCTTTGCTGGCAATGGGTGGCACTCCTCGACACGTCATCTTCCCTCTGGACGCATCTGTCTCTGTGTCCAAATTCCCCTGTTTTATAAGGACAGCAGTCATGCTGGCTTAGAGCCCAGGCCCAGTGATTTCGCCTTAACTCCATCATCTGCAAAGACCCTATTTCCACATTCACAGTCCTAGAGGTTAGGACTCCAACAGCTTTTTGGAGGAACATAATTCAACTCATAGTGATGGGTGTGACAGCGTACAGCCCCTTGAAGTGTGAATTTTTATGATAACTAGGAAGCATTTTCCCACCTCTCTCCTCCCACCCAGTGCTTTAAAATATTTTCCATAGTGACGACTAGAGTTGCCCGGTCTGGGAGGGGCTTCTGAGGCTTGGTTTTCTGAACTTTAGGACAGCCCTCCCCTTGGGGCCTCTAAGTGTTTGTTGGCCAGTTGCGGACTTTCACCTCGCATCCGAGGGCTCACTTGCACATCCCTCTGGGTGCGGGCTGTGTGCGCGGTGCATTTCAGCACTGATGTTATCGGAAAGAAAACCCCTTCCTCTCTGGTGCATTGAAATGTTTGCTTCCCAAATACTAGACTTTACTCCATATCAGCCAGGGTTCTCCAGAGAAACAGAACCAACAGGGAGTCTGTGTGTGTGTGTGTGTGTGTGTGTGTGTGTGTGTGTGTGTGTACACACATGTGCATTCATTTTAAGGAACTGGCTCATGCGATAGTCGGGGCTGGCAAATCCAAAGTCTCTAAGGCAGGCCAGAAACTCAGGCAGGCTTTCTATGCTGCACTCTGGCAACAGAATTCCTTCTTTTCCAGGAAACCTCAGTTTTTGCTCTTAAGGCCTTCAACTGTTTGGATGAGGCCCACCACATCATCTAGAATAATCTTCCTTACTTAAAGTCAACTGATTGGAGATGTTAATCACATCCACAAAATACTTTCACCACAACACCTGGACTGATGTTTGACCCAACAACTGGGCACCGTAGACTGGCTAAGTGTTCACCTGAAATCTAACCATCACACGCTCCTTAGAAGGCAGTGCTCACGGGAGGAAAGAGCGCCATCTGTGTCGAGAAAGCCTCCTCCCCTTCAGCGCAGGCCAGCGTTCACCATTGGTCAGCTGTCACCTGCTCAGGCTCATTGTTGGGCTGTGGAGGAATGGGGCAGGAGGAGGTGGGCGGTGCATTCAAGTATTGGTGTTATGCTCATCTGTAAATGCCCCACCCGGTGCATCTGAGGGTGGTCTGCACATTCTTAGGAATCGCCTCTTTGCATTGGAGTTTTTGTCCTTAGATAACTGGTGTTGGGTGGGGAGGGGCGGGGTGCAGCGCCTCTAAGCATGGGTTCTCTGAGCCATCAGAGATGCTCCTCCTGGGCACACAGTAGGGCTGTATTTCCCTGTCCCCTAGATGTTAGATGTGTCCGTGTGATGTGTCTGAAGTCTGAGCAGAAGTCCCCCCAGGGAGAAGCTTCTGAGAGCCAGCGTGAGGAGCCCCATGCTCTCCCTGTTCCCCTGTTCTGGTCACTGGCAATATTTCAGGTAAGGGCTGCTCCTTCCGGACTGGGTCCCACACAAATCAGCTGGGGCCCGGAATGAGGATGATGCCAAACAAGGGTCTCAGCCAAGCCTCGATGGACATACAGCGTGAGGAAAAAATAAACCCTTGTTGCTGTAACAACTGGGGCTTCGGGCTAGCCACTGCATATTCTTGTGCATTTCTGAATTTGAGGGTAAGTGTATTACCCTTTTTCGTGTGTGTGTGAGGAAGATTGTCACTGAGCTAACATCAGTGCCAGTCTTCCTCTATTTTATGTGGGATGCCGCCACAGCGTGGCTTGAGGAGCTGTGCTAGGTCTGTGCCTGGGATGCAAACCTGTGAACCCTGGGCCACTGAAGGGAAGCGCGTGAATTTAAGCATTATGCCATCCAGCCAGCCCTGTGTGTTACCCATTTTTATAATAAAGCTTAAATTTAAATGTAAACAGTACAGCCTGTGGCTGCCACTGCCCTCACTGAGCATGTGCCCAGGAGCACGGGTGGGGCAGGAGACAGAGCCGCGTTCTCTCCCACGCAGGGCGGTGAGCTTTCCTTTCTGGGCTGTAACGCCAGGGCTTACATGTACATCTGTTTCATTCAACATGGCCCATCCATGCCGGGCAACGACTTCATGTATGTTCCACCAAGAAGAGAGCAATCTGAGCCACATCCACCCGGCTTCGGTTGGGCAAGTCGAGGATGAGATTTGACAGAGCATTTCTGCCTTTGTAACTTAACACTTGCTCAATTTGCAACTCAACCTGTCCAGAAATACAGCCTCTGCACAGCCTTTCTTAACCCACGTTTGACAGGACAGCTTGCAAACTTCTGAAATCTACGCCAGATATTGTGTGCACGTGGTTTTTTTCCCACTGCTTTTTTACTTTATATTTTGAAATAACTTCAAACTTGCAAAACAGTTACAAGAATAAGTCAAAGAACTCCAGGATACCTTTTGCAATTCACCAGGTGTTAACATTTCATCACATTACTTTATGGCTTTCTTTCCACATAAACACATATATTTTTTAAAGAGTAAGTTGCATACACTTACCCCTGAGGGACATTTCTGAAAAACAAGGACGTGCTCTTACACAGCCACAGTATAATTAGCAAAATCAAGAACTTAACACTGATCGAGTTCATGTTCAAGTTTACCAGCTGTCCCAATTCTGTCCTTGAGAGCAGTTTTCCTGTCCCTCTACCCTGCAATTTCACACTGTGGTAGCTGCAGGGAAATACTGCCACCCTGGGAGTAAGTGTTGGACATGGCGATCGTGTCTGTCGAGGCTCTTTCAACTTGAGTGGTTCCTCAGTCTTTTTCGCTGATGACTTTGGAGTCCGGCAGGCTATTTTGCAGCGTGTCCCTGCACCTGGGGTTCACGTGTGCTCGTGATTAGATCTGGGCTATGTGTGTTTGGCAGAAGCACAGAAGCGACGGGCGGGTCAGCATCAGGAGGTACGCCCTCTTGACCACTGACACCACCAGGCTGGGGGAGATTCGCTCTGACCCCTTGGCCGGGGCACCGGGAAGGTGCTGTGGCCCCCTGTGTAAACAGGAAGTGTCTCACCAGGAGAGGCGCTGACACTTGTTCCTCCTCAAACTTTCTCCTTCTGCTTCCAGGCTCCATGGGTGAGTCTCTTGCCTGAATCAGTGATTATTACGGTGCTTGCCCAACAATCATTTTCTAACTTCACCATTCCTCTGGCATTTATTAGTTAGCATTTGCACATGCTTTGGGGAGGGAAGAGGATCCAGTACCTTCATCGGATTCTTTGAGACACCAACAATTCCAACGACGACAAATTCACCATAATTTTCGATGGCGGTAGAGTATTCTATCCTCTACAGATGCACGGAGGCAGCGCCGTTTTTATTCCAGTCCCCACCAATACACACATGGGTTTCTCCCATTACACATGAACAATACGCTACTATGAACAAGACTTTGAGGAACACCCTTTTGCACACCGCGTGGTGCATTCACTTACTTTTCCCAGCATGAGTCCCCAGGAGGTGAATGTCTGGGTCAGAAGGCAAGTGTGTTTTGAAGACTTTCGTTACACAATGCCAAGTTGCAATCCCGAAAGCCTTGCCAAGTCCACGTAGGTGAGAACGTCCACGTGCTCTCACTCTCACCAGCAGTGGGCGTTATTCTGTTCAATCTTGGGGCGCATCCGAGGTGTCAGGTCTACTGTCATTAAAAGAAGCCCCTAGAGCACTAAAGTGTGTTTTTATACAACATGAAGTCTGCCCTGCTTTCTGGGGTTTGTGGAGCAGGGGAAGAGCTGGGCGACGGATTTCGTTACTAGTGTGTCCGTCGCTAGAGGGAGCATCTGACCCATTCGGGGCATATTTACTGATCCGTGAGGGCCCTCCCACCGGGGAAGCTCTGACTTCTGTTTCCAGGCACAAAGGCAGGTAGTTCTCGTCCTTCACTTACCACAGCACAGGCAGAGGCCGTGCTTAGAAACAGTAAGGCCGCTGAGGGACAGAGGACCTGCTAGTGACCACAGACGGTGGACTCAAATTAAGATGGAGGCGTTTACCCACAAAGAGAAGCTCAGCCTCACTGGGAAGAAAGGAAACGAAAATGAAGACAGGCCCCTTTGTCTGCCCAGGACTGGCGCAAGTTTTAAAGATGGCTAATACTTAGGCTTATTCCTGCATCAGGACATCGACGTCCGTGGCTGCCTCTGCCTGCAATGGTCTTCTCCTCCGGATTTCCACAAAACTTGCTCTCTTGATTCAAATGTCACCTTCTCGAGGACAGTCTACCTTGACCACTCACCTAAAATTACACCCCACCCCCCACCCCCGGCATTCTGGAACCTTAACTGCTCTCATTATAGTTAAGTAATGTCTGGACACTACCAACTTCTCTTACCTATTAGCCCGGGGCTGTCCCAGTATTAGCACTGAAAGTCCTGCATCCAGGCAAACCAGGATAGTCGGCCACGCTGGTTGTAGTGTATGTGGTTTAAACCCGTCTCCCCCCCAGAATGGAAGCCCCAGGAAGGCAGCGCTTTGCTTCGTGTCGGTCATCAATGCACCTAGAACAGTGCCTGGCAAATGGCTGGTGCTAAATAAACACTTGTTGAATGAACGGGTGAGATCCTGATGGTGGGAATCCAAATAAGTGGAAGCTGCCAAGGGCCACTTGGCAGGATTGCAAACACACGTACCCTTTGATCCCGCCATCCCACTTCCAGGAATTTCTCCACCAGCAGTGGGCGTTATTCTGTTCAATCTTGGGGCGCATCCGAGGTGTCAGGTCTACTGTCATTAAAAGAAGGAATTTCTCCATCAGAACAGCTCACAGCTGTGCCCAAAGAATAATGCTCGAGGATGCTCACTGTGGCTTCTAGCCAGAGGCTGGACCCGCCGTCAAGGCCCTTCTGTCGGAGAATGCCAGCAACTCTGGGTGCTCCTATGGAGGAACGCTGCACAGCAGCCGATCCACACACACAGCCACAGCAGACTGTGCGGGGATGTGATGAGTACCTCTCTGGGGGTGGCTACCTGAGGGTGTGCAAACACAGCACAGAGGGAGGGCTAGAGCCACACCCCCCGCTTTTACTTCTGGCACGTCTGTAACTGCGTGAATTTCCCTCCAAGCGTGTTTCTTTGGTAATTTAATACAGGTGAACAGGAGAAATGGCGATTAATTTCGGAAGCTGGAATTCAAGCTGAAGGGACGATGTGGGTTTCACTGTATCGAAGAAAGTTTCTGGGTCATCAGTATTTAGCAAAGGAAGCCCCCCAACCCTGTCCC